AAGAGGGCCCGGCTGACTCCCTGCTTTGTGGTGGGAAAAGTAGTGCAGCCTGGCAACTTCACACAGCCCCCCAACTGTGCAGCTCGACAGGGACAGGTCTGTGCAGTAGGACGGGCAGGAGCCCCTTTGTGGCAAGGCCAGGCTAGGGGTGCTGGACCCCTCACACTGGCCAGACCTCCTCCTACTGAAGCTGACCAGGCTGGGGCTTCCTGCACCTTGCAGGGCCACAGCACAGAGCTCAAGGGCACATGAAGTTCTCACCAGATCCCTAGTTTCGCCTCTGTGTTCTGCAGAGTTTCTGCCATCCGGCTGCCAGGATGGTGGAGCAGCCACGCTTGCATCTTTTGCTGCATTTTAGCCAGATCAGCTCTGCTTTTATTGTTCATTTCGCTTGTTTGTTTGTGTCTGTTCACTTCCAGTGCTGGGGACTCGCTTGTGTGTGTTCGGCAAGTTCTCTGCACTGAGCTACTCCCCAAGCCTTACCATCCGATGTTATTTCACTTGTCTTTGTATTAGAGTTCACAGACTCGCCATCAGGTGTGAACTCACACAATAACTCAGCTCGGGTCGCAGGCAGGTGGAGCATGCTGGACCCCTCCTCCCTGCCAGCCTTCGGCCACGAATGTGCACCAAGCAGAGGTGCACAGACACGGGACCCCAGGCTGGAGGAGGCTGGGGCACTCACTCTCCACCAGCCTCCACCTGAGAGGACCCAGTTGCCGCTGAGACCTCAGCCTCCACCAGGGAATCTGTCCTAATCCCTTCGCAGGTTCCAGGGGAGGTCACATTTATTCTGGGCACCTTCCCAGTGTTGCTGGCATACCATCTGCAAATGGAAACAAGCTGTGGATATCTGGGAATTCCAAGAACAGTTGCTCTTACAAACCCTCTCCCTGCTCTGTGCCCACTTGGACTGGGATTTCCTCCTCAAGGATAGCAGTTCAATGTGTGAACTTGCCAGGTACTCATTTATTCATTCTACAAGTATTTAATTGTCTGTTAGGTTCCTGGCCCAGTGCTGGGCATTCAGTAAAGAGCAAAGCAGACAAGAAGCTTCTTCCAGGGAGTTTACACTCTCTGCAGGAATGAGGGACTCAACGAGAAAGCAAGGTTAGACTTTTTAGACTGTAATTCAACGTCACCCACTCATGGGGAGGAATGTCACCAGGAAACTAAGCAAGGGCTTCAGGGCAGGACCATTTTACTTAGAGTGGTCAGGGAAATCCTGAGCTGACAGACAAGGAGTAAAGAAGTAGCCAAACAAAAGGCAGCTGGAAGGGTGTTTTCAAGTTACAGCAATGGCAGGTGCAAAGGCACTGTGGCAGAAAGTGCTCAGCGTGTCAGAACTGAGGGTTGGTGAGCCAGGAGATATAAGAGGAAGACAGAAGCCCAGTCCAGTTTGGGGAGGTTGAAGTCCGTGCTGAGGAGTTTAAATTTTAAGTCAGTAGTAATGATTCTGGATTCTGTAAAACTCCTGTCTTGAAATGTTTCAGAGACATATGTGACTTTGAAGGAATAATATAATAAAGAGATACCCTTCACCCGTCCCTTCCCCAGGGTCGGTCCTCATCCCTCCAGAAGGTAATTATAGTGAACTTTAGTGTGTAATTTTGTGTTACAAAATTCTCTCCTCTTCATATTATAAGAGTTGAGCAATATGTTGGTTAGTTTTGAACTTCATGTAAATGGATGTGTGTATTCTTCTGCAGTTTGCTTTCCTGTTCATTATTCACTTCGGGCTCCTCTTCTTTGATGCCTGTAGCTGTCACTCAGTGTTCACAGCTGTGTAGTACTCCGCTGGGTGGCACTGCTGTGGTTTGCCTATTCTCTGGTGAAATGGCATCAGAGTTCCTAATGTGGAACCAGCCCTGAATTCTTGAGATAAACCCAACTCAGTTGTGACATACTCTCTTTTCTAAAAACACTGTTGGATCCCATTTGCTAGATTTTGTTTAGGATTTTTGCTTCTGGGCTGGCAGATCTGATTGGACGATCATTTTCCTTGCCTTGTTTGCCTTGTTCTTTTCTGGTTTGGGGATCGAGGTTTTCCCTTCCTCACAGGATGGCCAGAGAGTAATTCCCCTTTCTTCTCTGGAGCCTCTGATAAAACTGTGGAAAAGTTCAGTAAATGTAACCTACCATATTGTCACCTGCCTGCCGCCCCCACGGTCATCTGCACAGAGTTTGAACTTCTCTCAATACCTCTTGTCTTGGGTATCCACCTACCCCAACCTCTGTCCCCCAGGTCACATGCCGCAGCACAAGCCCTCACTTCATCGAAATGCTCAGTTTTCTCAGAAAACTGTGTCTCTGGTCTTTTATAGGGGGATCCTTAACTTGAGATTTTAGGGTGAAGGGCTGTCCCCAGGATCACCCTGAGTGTCCCCAGGTAACCCCAGGTAGGTCCCTCTCTCTCCGGTTTGCAGTCATCTTAAAAACCCAGCTCCGCCATCATTCACGTGCCTCTCAGTGCTGCCGTGGACGTGAGGGCTGATGGGCAGGTCCAGCTCGGGGTCCAGAGGGGAGCCTGGCTGAGCCAGGCTGTGCTGCCCTCCCCAAGGCTGCTCCATTTTAGGGACGTGTTGGAAGCTATGTGGTCCAAGTCCTCTGAGCCCAAAATTAACTTCTTTCCATTTTTTTGAAAGGGAAAGAACAGCAGGCTAAATATAACATTGGGCCACCCAGAGCCAACAAGCCAGAAACAAGATAAACAGGCAGACAGCTGGAGCTGGGTTTGCACAGACCCCAGGGAGTCCAGGGAACTGTGGTCTCCCAAGGGAGGGCTGAACCTGACTCTTGGACACAAGGGTTGCCATCGGTCACCTAGCAGGTGTGCAGAAAGTGGTTTTTCCACCACTCCTGCATCCAGCCTACACCTCTAGTCACGCACCTCTCCACCACGAGCCTCCAAGTCTGAGCTTACCTCAGGTCCAGTTGGCAAAAGCTATGCATCTCCAAGACTACAAAGCCCCCATCCTCCTCTTCACCTGACGCAAGTGACATTGCAAGAAACAAATACCTGGTGTGTGTTTGGTGGCTGCCCCTCCTCCACACCACTCCCACTACGGCTCTCTGCAGAGGGCTCCCTGTACAGTGAGTGCTCTGCACGCCACACCCACACCCGCTCATGCCTGTTCACGCCCTCATACACATGCAGGTGTGTGCACACAGGTACACATGCTTCCAACAGGTGTGTGTGAAATGCATGGGTAAACATACATCTATGTGTACTTACAAAGTGTATGCATACATGCACATACACGTGTGCCATATGCCTGTGCATAGACACACGTGCACACACACACACATGCACACATGTGAACATATGCATGCACGCACGCACACAGGCACACAGAGTGCCCTGCATTCCAGGCACAAGCCTACCACACCTTAGAGCCTTCCCATAAGCCCTTCATCTGGGACCCCCTGTTTCTAACTCCACAGTCCTGTGGTCCTGTACATCTGTCCCCTTCATTGGGATTCCTGGGGGACTCCTGGTGACATGAAGCCCCACTGGCTCTTCACTTGCTCACCCTCATTCCCACCCCCGGGCCTCCCGTGCTGCTGGAGAGGTTCTTAAATGCACAAGAAGTATTTGTCTGGTGGAAAAAAGAAGTTAGCGACTTCAAGCTGATAAAGGATGGTGTCCCAAATATTTTTAGAGTATCTTAGAACAAAGTGGCCAGTTTCAGAAGGAGCCTAGGGTTGAACAAGAAAATATCTCGGGCGCGTCAGATTTCAAGCGTCCTGGTTAGCCGTCCTCTGGAAAGATCGGAAAGAATGCAGAAGTGAAACAGGGCCTGCTCATCTAAACACCGGCTGAGCTTTGCCATTTGGCAAAGCATCCTGCCACAGGGATGGCTGATGGGGGCACAGGCAGCCAAGGGCACCCGTTCCTCCTCCATGGTCCTAGGCTTTCAGGTGACTTACTGTTTCCTGGCTCACTTAGCCACCAAGTGCCATAGAAGCCCGTGGCTGCCGGCTGTTGCCTTGCGTGCTGGCCTTTGAGCTGCTTTGTAGGAAGAGCGTTTTTTGAGCCAGCTGGGCACAGAGCTAAGTTGAGGAATGTTTAGATTTCTGCCCCTGTAAGAAAAGGAAAACTCGATGTGGCTGAAGCCAGGCTTGCCTTGCTGGGTGGCTTCCTGTGGCATCTGTTAGTCATTCAACATCAATTCAGTGGACCTTTTGAGTCCCTACTATGTTCCAGGCTCAGAGATAATGATGATATGGTCGTGGAAGAAAGAGACCTGCCACAGGAGTCAGGGGATGATGGGAGGGGGATCTGAGCTGGAGTGATCAGAAAACTGCAGAACTGCTGCAGGGGGGCATGCAGAGAAGGACAGGGTGAGAGATGAAGAGAGGCAGGACCTGGGTTAAGGCAGCCCTGAGCATCATGTAGGGACATGGCTTTTCTCCTGCAGGAAGTGGGGAGCCAGTGAGCGTGGTATACAGCCTCCGGGAGCCTGTGTGGAGAAACCTATCATTGATTGACTTCCTGTCACCCAGGCAGTCCTGTGACAATGATTGACCATGGCTCTGCCGAGGTTACCCCTCTGTTCGTTAAGCTCCACACAGTGTTTCTCTGCCCTGAGCTCCAACCTTGCTGGCCTCCTGCAGAGGCAAGTCTGGCTTCTCCTTTCGGTGTGGAGTGGGTGGTTCAGGGATCACACAAGAAGCAGAACCCAAAGGACATCTGGAAGGCATCAGAGGCCAGGCCGGGCTGTGGTGGCCCAGTGTGGCTTCGTTCCTTTCTTGTGAGTGCCGCTGGGTTCACAGAGACGCCTCGAGACTGAGCTGATTATCTCTCTGCTCCTTCTGTTCTGTTTGCAGACCTCTCGGCAGCAGTGTCCACGCGGGATGCTGGAGTTTGCAGCTTGCATGGGCCCATCGCTTGAGGGTCTGGCTGAGGATCTTTCAGTGGATGCTAGAAGTTGTCTTTAGTGCACTGAAGATTATTTATCTTGCTTTGAGCTGAGTCTCGCTCTGCTGCCATTGCCACAATGGCCCAGTCCAAGGCCAATGGCTCACACTATGCACTGACCGCCATCGGCCTGGGGATGCTGGTCCTCGGTGTCATCATGGCCATGTGGAACCTGGTACCCGGGTTCAGTGCCACCGACAAGCCGACGGCGCAGGGGAACAAGACGGAGATCGGGGGTGGCATCCTCAAAAGCAAGACCTTCTCCGTGGCCTACGTGCTGGTTGGGGCCGGAGTAGCCCTGCTGCTGCTGTCCATCTGCCTGAGCATCCGGGACAAGAGGGAGCGGCGGCAGAGCGAGGAGCTGGCCCGCATTCAGCAGCAGGCAGGGACAACGCCTCATGCCCAGGAGGAGGACAGGTAAGGACTGCCCGGCCTGCCCAGCCTCTAGTCTGGAGGAAGGACACACACTTCTGCTTTTCATTTGTTTTTATTTTGTTTTGCGGTGCTGGGGATCGAACACTGGACCCTGCACGTGCTAGGCAAATGCTCTACCTCTGAACTATAGCCCCAGCCCTTGCTCTCACTCAGCAACAGTGAAAGCGTTGTAGTCTAGAAGGCTTTACCTTCCCACTCTCTTCCACAAAGCTCCATAAAACAGCTTATTTTACAAACATCCTTGTCCTTCTCAACCAGGGCTTCCCAAATCAGGTGGCATGAATGGATTACAGGTGTGCCAAGGCTTGGACGCCACAGGAAGCTGAATGGGGTCAGGTTGGTTGCATGTCCATCTGCCCCAACCGTGCTGTGAACATGCTTTTAAAAAGTCAGGGTGAAATGTTGCCTTGACCTCCAACCCGCAAAGATAGTTACAAGATAAATGATAAATTGGGGAACATATGATAAAAGTCAGTCACCCCATTAGAGAAAGAGTCCCTGTATGTGAATGTGAAAGATGGACATGCCAGTCAGAAAATGGATGAGCAATTTATAATGCTCAACCTCAGTGGTCCTGAAATGCAAACAAAAAGATGTCATGTTTTCTTTTCTTTTTCTTTTTGTTTTCCTTGGCCTATCGTATTGGCCGAGGTAGGCAGGCCCCAGTGTTGGAGATGGACATAACATTCCTGATCCCTTTCACAGTGAGGGGCGGATTAAAGACACTGTACCCATCCATTCTGCTCCTCAGAGTTTATCACTGACCAAGACATTGTCGTGTGGCCCATGACTGTGAATTATCTTCTTTATATGTGCAGACTTACTATGAGGATTTGGCTCACGGGGCAGTGGGGACTTGAGTGTGGGCCTAACACTCTGCGTGTATGTGTTTGTCACTTGCAGCCAGGAGGAGGAGGAAGAAGCAGCCTCCTCCAGGTACTACGTCCCCAGCTACGAGGAAGTGATGAACACCCACTACTCAGAAGCGAGGGAGCCGGAGCAAAACCCTAGAATGAGCATCTCTCTCCCCTCCTATGAGTCCTTGACGGGGCTGGACGAGACCACCCCCACGACCACCAGGGCCGATGTGGAGACCAACCCCGGGCAGCCCCCCGACAGACAGAACTCCAAGTTGGCCAAACGCCTGAAGCCGCTCAAGGTTCGAAGGATTAAATCTGAGAAGCTTCACCTCAAAGACTTCCGGATCAACCTCCCAGACAAAAACGTCCCTCCGCCGTCCATTGAGCCTTTGACTCCTCCACCACAGTACGACGAAGTCCAGGAGAAAGCCCCTGACACCCGGCCACCTGACTGAGTGACCCCCCTGGATGCATTCCTTCCTGTCTCTCACCCTCACATCGAAGTCTGTGACAAAGCCACTCCAGCCCCAGTTGAGAAACAGGGGCCAATGCACCCTCAGCCATTTGGATGGGGGCTGTGTATTTTGGGTGTCACTGGTGATATCCCGCCTGCCTCCCTAGCAGGTGTGTCTGAATGATGCTGCCTGGGAGCTCGTGACTCAGGACCACTCAAGGGGTGCAACACAGGCATCTTCCCAGCTTCCTTCCTCAACTCTGAATCATTGGCAACACACTCTTCTAAGCTAGGACTGGATCCCTGGTTTAGACTGTGATTGTTTTGTTTTGCTTCCACTATGACTGTTTTGTTTCACAAAGAAAGCAAGTTTCACATTTGTTCTTTTCACTGGAGTCTGAACTGGGCCTTTGCCGAAGGGACCCGGGGCTGTTTTGTGAATGAAGCAGTGATCAGGTGGGGTGGGCCCAGGCAGCAGCTGTCTTGGGGGCCCTGGTGCTGTAGGTTCTTTGAGGGTCTAAGGCCTGATGGACTTCAGCACATAACACATAAAAGAATCTGAACTGGTACAATTTACTAGTCTCTTCTGTGTAATGGCCAAGAGGGAAACTGTAGGTGTTCTCTTCCTTCTGAAAGGACACGGGACTCAGCTTTTTTATAATAAAATATTTTATATGTAGTCCACTCAACTAGCAAGTTATTTCAGCAGTTTTTCAATATTGGCTTGTGTAGGGAAAAGTGTCAATCATAGTGGCTATGGTATGGAGACTTAACTGCTAAGCAGTACACAAATGCTAGCCTATGTCACCTGCACCCAGGCCTGGTGGCCCTGCTCATGCACACAAGGTTAATTAAATCAGCCAACTTCACACCACCAGGAAGTGCATTGAGATGTCTGACTCCAGGGTCTGAATTCTTTTGTTGTTGCTATTATTTTGTTTTTGGGGTACTGGGGTTTGAACTCAGGGCTTCATGATTAGCTAGGCAGGGGCTCTACCACTTGAGCCACTCCGCCAGCCCTTTTTTGTGTTGAGTATTTTCACACTATTTGAACTATTTGCCCAGCTGGCTTCAAACCACGATCCTCCTGATCCCTGCCTTCTGAGTAGCTACGATTACAGGCATGAGCCACCAACTCTGGCTAGGGCCTGTGTTCTTACAGACAGGGTCTTCTGTGCAGCTCGGTGTAAAGACATTTATTTGGACTTTGAGTGATCCAAGGCCATGCCACCAACCCCTAGGCCTGAGGGTGTAGGCAGAAGCTCTCTACCTTCCCGGGACAGACCCAGGAAGGAGCTCAGCTCAGCCTGTTGTCTGCCCCCAGCACAAACTGGCAGGTGGGCATGTCCTTCCGGTGGGGCCAGGCAGTACCGTACAGTGCAGACGCAGTTCAGCCACTGAGAAATGCCCAGGGCCACAGACGGTGGAGGACTGGGCATTGAGAGGAGGGGTCAGAGTCTTGGCCTTACAGTGGGAGCCTGGAAGACAGACCCAAGTCCATGGAAAGCCCTCCTGGCATTGGCTGGCACCCAGTGGACTGTGGAGCCTCGTGTGAAGAATCCATTCTCGGCTTCAGATGTTTTCTGAGGAGCGCTCTGCCATTAGGAGGTGAACAGGTGATCACCTTCTTAGCTGGGATAGGTTTTAGTGCTTAAAGTTCCAAACTTTCACTTGCTTTATGCAGTTACTTTATAGAAAGGGGAGGAGCTGAGTTGTCTATGGGGCATGGAACACCTAAGTCCTGCTCTTCAGAGCCTCCTGGTGGCTGTCTGCATCCAGGTACCTGGGATGGGCTTGTTCTTCCTCACCGTCCATGCTTCCTCCTCACCCTTGAACAAACAGGAGGAAAATACACAAGGGGAACACCAAGGTCCTGGGTGGGTTGAAAGGGTTTTCTAGAAAAGCTCTCAATCTGCTTTGCCAGGTAGCTTTTGGAATATCTGTCCAACCTACACCTTCTTAGGGGCAAAAGAGGTTTGTAGCTTGAGGGTGAATGACAATCCTCAAAGGTATAAAACCCACTCCCTGGATCTTTGACATTCTCCTTATATGGTAAGGTTTGCCTAGACGTGATTAAGAGTTTGAAATGAGAGATTATCTTGGATTATCAAGGTGGCCCCATGACACCACAAGTGTCATAAGCGACAGACAAGGAGCCTGTACACTGAGAGAGGGAGGAGGCCATACGACCACAGAGGCAGAGATGGAAGGGTATGACTTCGGTCTGAGAATGCTGGCCATGTCAGGAGCTGGAGAGGCAAGGGTGGCCCCTTCCCAGGGCTCCCAAGGTTCCTGATAACATTTCATACAGGTGAAGAATCAACCACCAGTCCAATCGACACTGACTGGACATCTGGCCTCCAGAGCTGTGGGAAAACAAGTCCCTATTGTCTCTGGCATGACATTCTTGATCATTTGTCATAGCCACCAGAGGAAACCCATGCAACTCAATCTTCAACTCACTGGAGACCAGCTCCCTGTGACCTGACCCCTTGTGACCTCTCTGACAGGCAGGATTGCTATGGAAACAGCATTAAGGATCCTGCTTATTTGATGCATGAGGAAATGACCAAGAGAACATGATTTCTGTTACTCAGAGAAATATAACAGATATTTGGCATGGTTAGCACTGGTTCACCTCTTTCTAAATCAGAGGTAGCGAGAATGTAGCTGGAGACGGTAACCATGGGTTAGCACTCTGCACGGCACCTGGAGAAGTTCAGAAATCTAAATTAAGAGCTCTTTAAAGTCCCATCCCCGCACTCCTACCCTCCTCAAAAGGCAGAATCTGGGCAACCATGTTGGTATCATGTGACCTCCACATTCTCTCAGGTCACAGCTGATCGGACGTAGACTGTGTGTCCACATCACCCAAGAGCTCCAATCAGAAGCTGAGCTGGGTGAGGCCAGTTTCCCCTGGGAACTTGGTCCTGGGATGGAGAGGCTGGTGGCGATATGGTCTCCGGGTGCTGAGGAGGCCATCCAGGGCGCTATGATGGATGAGTGAAGCAGGAGAAACAGCGCTGAAGAGAGAAGTCAGCTGTAGAAAAGCTGCCTCCTGGTGACTTTCTGATCCTTGGTGCTGGCACCCTGGGCAGAGTAACCATGGTTTGTCTTCCCAATAAGTCCCTCCCCTTTAGCTTTTACCTTTAACCTTTACCATGGTCATGCTTGCTAGACCATGGTTGAACCTCACCTCTACTTAATTTCTGTTTTCACTTTGCCCACACTGGTTGCATTGCTGGTGAGGAAGCTGATTAAGGCCAAACATCACAGTGGAGCATGACTGTGGCTGTGGTGTGGAGCGCTGCCCCCTGTGTGGCCCCACCACCTGGAGACTGCCATCCCCAAATGCTAACTGAGCTCCCACTGTGTGCCTAGCGCTGGCCCAGGTTCTGGGGACCAGCGGTGGAGCCGAAGCTCTGGGTCAGCATTGGAAAGGAAGTTTGCTTGGACACCATTTCCCAAAGCAGGTCCTGTGACCATGGGTGACAATAGCCTTTGGGTGACTGGGTGAAAGCTTCAGGTAGCTGTGCACTCAGAAAGAGCTGTTCTACAAGAAGAGGTGACAAAAGCACAAGGTCACAGAGCTGGGCACAGATCCAGTCAACAGAGGTTGGCTGCTTTGCATTTCCTGGTTCTGGGTTCTCCTTTTTGCCTGGCCACCTGCTCTGCCTTGTATGTCCCCCCACTGCCCCAGTCTGCTTTCAGTGAAGGCCATCTCTGCCAGAGCATGCTGAAGTGGGTTTCTGATACCTGAAGCCAAATGTCCCGTGACAACTCAGATCCATATGGAAAAGCAGATGACAGAGTCAAAATTAACACAGAAGTGTGCTGTGACACAGAAAACAAGGTACAGACGTGTACAGATGCATGGACATGGGCTCTATGGGACCCTGCAGGAAGAGCCCTTCTGAGAACCAGTGGGTTCATTTGTTGTCTCAAGGGCCTTTTGACAAGGCCACGTTGCTCCTAGGACTTGGTGCTGAGTGTCGCCATTAAGAGTAAGGAAGAGACCCGTGCTGTCTCTGATCATGAAGGTTAAGAGAAGGCCTGCTAGCTGACCTTGGCCTCCTCACCAGCAAAGTGGAGGTGGCCACAGGTACAGTGCCATGCAGTCCCTAGGTCAGAGAAAACCAGGGCCACATGGTGGCTGAGACAGAACTACAGTCTCCCACCGCAGAAGGGACCTGAGATCTGAGCACTACTGCACTTGCAGGTCTGGAAGCTTTCTCTGAGCAAAGCCACCAGGTGCCACAAGTAGTCTGTGAGAAACTGTCACGCAAAGCCAGCTACAGGAAAATGGCAGCATTTCCTGTCCCCTGTTCACCTGAACAGAGGACATGAAAGTCCATTATGTTCAGTGTTCAGTGTCACCAGTACGTTCAGTACTGAGCACCTTGTACTAAAACGGTGACACTAGGAAGGCCACAGAGATCAGAACTTAGTGATTCTGAAGCACATCCCTTGTGATTTACTGGGTGTGTGTGCAAAGTCCCTGTCTGGTGTGTTTGGGAGTCCCCAAGTTAAACAGCGTGTACACCTTCCACAAATTTCTATTGAGCCCTATTCCATACCTTGTGAGGGGAGGGAGCCCCATGGGTATCTGGACATAGAGAATTAACTCCAGAGCCTCACAGCTCATGGACGAAGCTGCCCCTTCATTCCTCCTCGTGTGGCCCTCAGATCGCAGGTCACCAGCCATGTTAGCTACTTTAGCATCTCTGTGATGATATACCTGACATACACAACTCAAGAGAGGAAGGATTTATTTTGATTCATGGTTCCAGAGATTTCCGTCTATAGTCCTTCACTCTGTTGATTCTGGGCCTGTGGTGAGGAAGAACATCATGGCGGCAGGAGTATGTGGAAGAGGCTGCTCTCCTCATGGCAGACAGGAAGCAGAGAGGGAGTGACACGGAAGGGCCTGGGACAAGACATGGTCCCCAAAGACACCCCTCACCACCACCACCAGTTATCTACTTCCTGCAGCTAGGCCCC